GGGTTTTCGAAACAGAACCCCCTACCGCTCACCAACATCTCACCTCCCCCCCCGGAAACTCACAGAACCACCCCCCATGGCTCATGCCGGACCCAGCAACCCTCTCGATCGAATGCAATATAGATGGAACAAACAAACTCTTCCTTGCCAGCTGCACGGCCAACCATTGGCCTTTTGGCGTTCTCAACGAAGACATATTTGAGCATTTGAAGAATTGTGGGTTGGGACAATCTAGGACGTCACTCCCCCCTCCACACACATGAATTGATTTCGCGTCCAAACTCAACAGTCTCCGTTGGCCACCCCCTCCTGTGCAGAGGGATGTGTTTGTGTTTTGTGACAGGTGGGATGTGGCTGTGTATCAGTGTAGGAGGGCTGCGAGGGCAAGAATCAGTTTAGGCACTACTTTTCCGCCTGTGCTTGTTTCTCAAGTTGGACATCTTCACACACAGGTATGGTCCATCCCGTTGTCTGCTCGATTCTGGTGGGCTTCTTGCTCTGCCGCAAATCATGTCCCCGGGGAAGCCCCAGGTAAATATCAACCCTTCTGGCATGCTAGCCACAACATCTTCCCCAGCTTGAAGTCTCCTCCAATTGCCAACGCCAACCATCAAATCTTGTACGTGAACTCCCATATCATGTGCCCCCCCCCCTTCCTCCCATGGCAATGCCCTTAAGCAAAGCAAGCCAATCGGAAGTCTACATCCTTACAGATTTCTCAAAGCTGGTAAAAGTTGCTGCTCATCCGATTTTTTTCACATGCCTTTGGGTTGTTTTTTCACTGGCAGCAATTTGACCTCCCACCGAGTTTGAGAAACGCTGCATGTCTAGGAAAAAAATCGTGACCTTGTGTTGTCTTTTCATGCCAGCTGTGGGAGGGCCGCGGCGCTTGCGATGGTTCTCGGGGGTGAGTATAAGGGTGAAGATGTGCAGACTTTCTGAGATACATGCCAGTAGGTGTTGAGGTTTTTTTTTAGGTGGGGGGGGGTACACAATGCGGCAGCATATTGATCCCTTCCCTTCGAAAAACCCCCCCTGCAGCCCTCCCACACCATTTCCAAATCTGCAATCCGGAAGGGGAGCGGTTTAAGCTCTCGTCCCGCTGACGCGCCCCCACTGATCGTTGGCACAGGTATCTGCGTCACCCCCTTTGCGGCTGAGGCAAGGCTTGCCCCTATTGTCAAGGACTGCAGTGCTCTGCCAGATCGTTGAGGCGTTTGGAGAGGCAGGTTAAGGAACTTGGTGTTCAGCCATTGGAAGCCTGCATAGTGGCCAAGTTCGAGAAGGAGAAGTTTACAGAGTTGAAGGTAGTCATCAAGGAGGGTTTGGATAAGGTATGCGCAGTGCGGACAGACAAATAACTTTGAGTAGGAGGCGGCATGACGCACAAAGTCAGCTGAGCTAAAAGTTGCACTGGAGGCGCAGATGACCGTGCAGCATGACTTTGCTATCCTCTGAGCTGGACCAGAAAGAACTCATTGTTAAGAAGCCGCTGAAGGTCCTGTGCAAAAGAAACGTACATGAATTTGGAGATGCCGTTGGAGGCGATGAAGCACGGGCTCAGCGAGTGGCAATGAAGGTATGCGGTACTCAAGAAAATGTGCAGGTAAGAGGGACAGACGGAGACAAGTAGCGCGGGGTTTTCTGATGTCTCCCCACCTGATTCACCAAAAGAAAACAGGTAAACGACTAGAAGATGCAGCACGACAAAAGATCGATCGAACTCTCCGAAGCTTGCTCCCAATCTCTCCTCTCTAACAAAGCAGCTCGCGCAGCCACTTCTGAGTCTGGACACGGCTTCGAAGAGGGGCAAAGACTATCAGAAGGCCCTCGTAGACTTTTGATGTAACGTCAAAGCACGACAATGCAGTCGAACAGTGCGAGCTTCTCGCTGGCAGCGCCGAAGTCCTCCGCAGCCATATCGAAGGAGCTGCCGCCGTCGCAAACCGAGAGTTGGCCCTTGAGAGGTCCCGTTCCCGACAGTCCGAGACAGCAATGGACAGCTGCAGGCGGTTTATGACGAGGCTGCGCTGAAGGTTGCGGTGATTGCTAAGGAAGGGGAGGTAACGAGCCATAAGTCCCCGCAACTTTATGCCGAGCTTGGCAAATCGCAGCAGGACGTGGCACTCCTCAAAATTGAGAGCAAATGCAAACCTGTGCAACGGAACTGTCAAGGAGGCTGCGTTTGATGCTCCATAGTGCAAGGGCAACCTCAAGGAGTCGCACACAAGCTGCGAGCGCCTCGACAAGGTTAGATCCTGGTTTTGACAAGGTTAGATCCTTGTTGATCGCAACCCTCAAGTCGTTAATCACAGCAGTGAAGGCGAGACCCTCATCCTCAGTGGTCGTCGACGGTCGAGTCCCTGTTGCTCCTCCAGCAAGGGCCAAGGTGGCGATCCACAGTGTTGCGAGGTGGAAACGCTGGGACGGTTGACTTGAGCACAAAGGTTGTCAAATTCATTCCCGCCCGCCACTATGTACATACAAAGCGCAACTTGTCCCGAGTAATTTTCGATCTGATTTCACCCGATCTGATCAGATCCGATCCCCAGATTTCCTCTCGCCCCTCCTGCTACGCCTAACCGAATTTGGTGATCTGAAGTGTGTACGATTCCCCTCATCAAGCTTCATCCAAATTTTAACATTTCCCCTTGGATTGTCAGCCTCGATGGCCCGATCCCTGACTTCCAGCCCCCTTCACGACTCCCCATCCAGGCCCATCAGGCTGGCGAGACGAACGTGTTGGGCGATGGGGAGAGCCTTGGTCAGCGCGTCCGCGATCAGGTCGCCAGATTTGCAGTAGGAGAGCGCGATCGTCCCGTCTTGAACCCTCTCGCGCGCGAAGTGATGGGCCACCTCGCCTCGATGGCCCAACACCCGACTTCCAGCCCGCTTCATGACTCCCGCGTCCAGGCCCCACGCGGAACACGGTGTTCTGTGCCATCTTGATGGTTCCCAGGTTGTCTTAGAAGACCCAAGTGTTATGCTGGGCGTCCTTGGATCGCTCGCTGGTCATTGTCTCTCGCGTAAGACGCCTGACCCAGATGACTTCCTTGAAGCACAGTGCGAGCGCGATGTACTCCGCCTCAAGCATTAACGTTGCGACCTGCCCCTGGCATTTAGACTGCCACGAGACTGTGCCACCATGGTGGATGATGATGTATCCGCCAGTGCACCTCCTGGTGTAGACGCACGCAGCGAAGTCTGAATCGTTGTAGACGGATATCTCGCCCTTCTTGTAGTTGTTAGAGACAAAGCCTATCGCGTCGCGCAAATTGGCCACCCCAAGCCTGTAGTGGAGCTTCAGAGCGGCGGCTCCCTTGAAGTAGCGAATGATTCAGCTCACGAGGGCGATGTGGCTAGCTGTTGGGTTCGCGGTGAACCGCGGAGCCACCCCTACAGCATATGTGATATCCTGCCTAATTCTGATCATCCCGTACATGATGCCACCTTAACATTGACGCGCTCATGAAGCTGGCAATGAAGGCAATGGTGGAGACAGCTTGACGCGGACTATCTGTGCCGTGAATCGACGCTCTGCGAGCTGTGCGTGATGGCAAAGCATTGCGAGACATACGTCCCCAAGGAGAGGACGACAGAGGGAGCAGGTGAGACCGAGCTACTCTGCCTCATCCACGATGATATCGCTGGGCCTATGGAAGTCACATCCCATGGAGGATCAAGGTACTTCATCGTCTTTGTCAATGACCACAGTCGCAGGATCAAAGTGACGTTCCTGGCGCAAAAGAGTCAAGCGCTGAAGGCGCTGAAGGACTTCATTGTTGAGGCAGAGCAACAGACGAGACACAAGGTCTGCATTGTTCACGCCAACAACCGCTGGTGAGCTCCAGTCAGCAGAGTCGGAGGCCAAGTTAGAGAAGCTAGGGATCATGCAGCAGCTCACTGTGCCCTACACGCCGTTCCGAAACGGGGTCGCAAAGCGCAGCATCCGGATGCTCGTGGAGACGGTACACGCGATGCTGAGGTCGGCCGATATGGAGAAGCATTTCTGGGCAGAGGCGATCTCAACGACGGCCTACATCCGCAACCACAGCCTGTCGGCAGCTCTTGGGTCTTTAGTGAAAACGCCAGAGGAGTTGTACACTGGAAGGAAACCCAACCTCGAGCACCTGCACATATTCTGATGCGACGTGTAAGAGCTTATCCCGTCGGAAAGGCGCAAGTTCGACAACCATGCCTACAAGGGCTTCCTTGTCGGGTACGCGGCAAATACAAAGGGTTATCCCGTCTGGGTGCCAGAGCTCAGACAGGTGATCCACAGCCGGAGTGTGCGCTTCACCGAGATCCTCGTGCTTGGCGTCAAGCATTACGAAGCCGATCGACACTTCTTCTGGGACGAGCCCAAGGAGAATGAGTCGTGGGTCGCGGAGCAGGTTGGGAGCAGCATGGAGCCCTCAGGCAAGGGAAACACGAGCCAGGAGCCCACTCCTACGCCGACCAGACGCGCATCCGACGAGGACCCGCAGGCCAACGGGCCAGACAAGACACCACGCGCCAACCGACGCCACCGCCAGCCACCTAGGCCGTGGTGGGCCGCAAGTGGGGGTGACGTGCACCATGAACATGTGCAGATGGCGAGCTTGGGAGACAACATCGTCCAAGAGAGGATCTGGGCAGCTGTAGCGCATAACCCGGAGTCGGAGCCGTTGAGAGAGCTGCTGGCCCGCACTGGGCCTGATTGCGAGCTCAGGGAGAGCGCGATGGACGAGGATATCGCGTCGCTCAAGGAGAAGGACATTTTCGAGCTCGTCGAGCTTCCCCTGGGGCATAGAGCCGTTGGGAGCAAGTTCGTTTACAAAATCAAACGAGGCGCGGAGGGAGAGATCCTCTGGCACAAGGCGCGGCTGGTAGCTAAGGGCTACAGCATGAGCTAATGGATGATAGCTGTCCAAGAAAATAACCTCTGTGATCCTCAGGCGCGCCGGAAGGGTGCTGGGGTCGGGGGGAGCCTAATATGGAAGCCGACCAACCATATTTATGGACTAATAGCTCAGTGGTAGAGCATATATACCGGCAATCAGAACGTCCCATGTTCGAATCCCGGTCAATCCATTTAGCGGCCAAATACCTAAATATCAGCATGCTTCGAGGGTATGAAAGAGGATTGACACCTCGTGAGTTGGCAGTTTCCAACCTGGTAGCGCCACAGGTGACATGCAGAGGGTTTTCCCTTGGAGGGGGAGTGTTGGAGCTAATGGATGATAGCTGTCCCAAGGAATAGCCTCCGCGACGCTCAGCCACGCCGGAAGGGTGCTGGGGTCGGGGGGAGCCCTAAGATGGAAGCCGACCAACCACATCTACGGACTGGTAGCTAAGTGATAGAAAATGAATAGTTTTGCTTGTATTTTCAGATTTGCATTTTTCGGAGTTCGGACGACGTCGCGTCGAGATCTCGCAGTGCCCAAATCCCGGCTTGCGCACATAGATCAACGATCGCCTCCGTCTGCCTCCCCCCCACACCCAGCCCTCCTCGCCTCCGCCTCCACAGCTCTCCCGCAATGGACGAATCCGAAGACTTCGTTATGGAGGAAGGTGGAACTTTCATCGTGAGTTGGCTCAAAAGATTCTGTTTCTTTTCCTTCCTTAAGGCGTTCTCAAAACTCACAACCTGCTTCACTCCGTCTCGCACATTGTGTTTGCGCACGGCAGATGCCTCCAGCCCCTTTCAGCGACCTCGATCGGCTGGTGCAGTCCCTCGCCGACGCCCTCAAACACTTTGGTGGCGCCAGGGACGAGGATGTGCGCGAGTACGTTCAAAAGAATATGGAGGTAGGCTTTTGCCCGCGCTCACGAGTGAAGAGATACATAGCT